TGAAAACTGCAAGGACTCGTCCAAGCAGTCACTGCAGAGTCGGTAACGACTGAGCGCAGATTAAAAAAAAAAAAAAAGTGGTAATATATTTGAATGATGCCTGGAGACATGAATCTACATCTCCTTTAGTAGCCACCAGACTCTCTGCCCTGACTGACTTTTATAGTAAAGAACATAGGAAGTTGGAATTATGCCAAATAAAATGTCACTCTTTAGCAGCAGCATCTTAGTTTCCCCAATTCTTTTTTGGGAAGTATGCTTCCTTGTCCAGAAAAAGGACAAAAGAAAGCAAAAGTGGAAGTGACTGTTCCACAGAAGTGGAGGACGAAAGGAGAGTAGTAAGTTGAATTCTGGTGAATCAGTGCTATGTAACTGTATACATACTATGGCAGACATGATTGAGTAACCCATTCTCAAAAAGGTAGTTTATCATGATGTATCAGTCCTGGCAAAAATGGAATCCAGAAGAACCATGCATGATTTACCACAGCTTCTGTAACTTGATCTACTTCAACTGTGTCAGGACACTATGGCAGACATGATTGAGTAACCCATTCTCAAAAAGGTAGTTTATCATGATGTATCAGTCCTGGCAAAAATGGAATCCAGAAGAACCATGCATGATTTACCACAGCTTCTGTAACTTGATCTACTTCAACTGTGTCAGGACAACTGCTCTTACAATTCTTTTTGTTTTACTGACCCTTATTGTTTATTTGATTCTGTAATTAGTAATGAGCCATTTAAGTTGTAGAAGGAAATGAATATTAAATATACAGTAACCTCTCAGAATTAAGGGTTAGCTTGCGAGCATAGGATTGCACATTATCCAGAGAAATTCAGAATAAGAATGTATGTTCTGTACCATTTTTTCCAAATATATTCTTGGCCCTACTTCTCCTTTCATTTTGCAATTGGGTAAAAAAAATTATTTCAGTGTGCTTTTGGCCCTGGTTGACTCTGGGTAATCAGCATGGAACTTATGATTTGTATCAAGTTATTTTTATTTTCTTTGTCCTTGTTTTCATGCTTTGTTCACTGTACTGTCCAGAGTCCATCAGGATTGGGATGGTCTAAATAGATAGAAAGGCAGGAGGCAGGCAGGCAAAGCATGACAAGACTTCTATTTTGTGACTGTTCTGTTTTCACACTAGGTAGAGAGAATGACTTCTGGTAGAATTCAGAGAACTGTTTCTTAGAATGATTGCTATTATCCTTAAAATGTCCCATATGCATGCACACATTTGTAAGACTCAAATCCTTCCAAAGTATAGCATAGGGATCCATTTATTCCAAGGAGGGGGAACGTGTGATCCCCAAGCAACGTTGGTAAACTCTCAGTAGACTCTACTAGCGTGACCCACTGGGTCAAAGAAGTTGTGACTTATATTTCAGCATCATGTGAAGGACCACAAATTCTCCACCCTTACTTTATTCACTGGATTATAAACATTTTCAAATACAGGGAGCAATGAAAATCAGTGAATAGTAAGTCAGTAGATGTCTCAATCTGGTGTTGTTTATAATTAGTCTTTGATTTTTGAGATAATTTGTTTGTGCTCCAGTTTAATATTCTGTCATTTGGATATGTTGCTTTTTTTCTAAGTTATTATAGAGTCTGACTTTGTGAAGTATGAGGGCAAGTTTGAAGATTGCATCGGAGGAAGCATTGAAACTTCATTAGGAAGAATCAGTTTAGGAACTGGAGGAAGAGACATTGTGGAAAGCCGATCCTCTTTTGGAAATCTCAAAAAGCAAGAAGTTGACTTGCACAAGCTTATGAAAGATGTGAAGGGAAGGTATTTATTTTATTCATTTATGAGATCTATACATAGTTTCACTTTACGGGGTTTTAAAAAAATCTTCAGCTTTAAAAATGGCATCTTTGTGAGGAGGTTTAAAAAATTGCTTTGAAAAGTTTTAGAGATAGTTGGAATTGAAGAAAGCAGCAAAGATTGAAGATGAAGCACCATGATTTCTGGAGTTAATATGAATTTAATCTGGGAGTATGATATTGTTTGATTCAAGCTTGACATCTGCTAGACGCATCAGACCTTATAGGCACATCTGTACAATTTTCTTCTCAATGGTATGAAGGAGTTTGCCATTACCTCTTTTCAGGTGTGTTTCAACATCCCAATCTAGCCTACAGTATTTCCCATTTGTGTCCCATCCAAGTACGAACCAGGCCTGAATCTGCTAAGGTTCCACTTAGCTTCCCTTTCAGCCTAGCAATCACTGATAAGACCTTGAAAGCAATATACAGGTGGTCCTTGTTTAGCAACTGCAGTTACGATTATGATGAAAAAGTTACTTTGCAACCAATATCTGCACTTATGACCTTCACAGCATCTCTTTCTCTGTCACATGTTGGCCATTACAGTCAGTAGGTTTTGTTCTGTGGCTGACTCATTTTTTCTTCTTTTTCCCACCTCTCAGAGCAGAGAGATTGCCTAAACAAGCTATCTCTTCTTGGGCAGCCCAGCACTTCTCCAAAAAGTGCTAACCACAATTTAACTAGCTCAGCTCTGTGACCTTAATTAGTTGATTAGAACCTCCATCTGGCTGGCAATGCTATCTGAAACTGATAAGACCCTAATCAGTTTCATACAAAAGGCTTTTGTTTGCCTCCTAAGTGGCCCACTGCTGGCAGCTGACAGCCAACTAGGCATTCCTTTCCATGTGTATTCCCCATTGTGTGTCTGCTTACTCTCTTGTAATCCCTTCCTCTCTAATGAATGTAAATACAAGCATTAATTTCCTTCTACTTGGTAATTATACCAGCACCAGGGTCAGCATTCCAAAGGGTGGGGGAGTGGGGAAAAAGGGCTATAAGATTTGCCTTTTACCTGGCTTCTTCATGAGTCAAGTTCCAGAAACCATCCCTGCCATTTGGGCTCATCCAGCTGTTTGGAGTAGTATCCTTCTGACACTGTAAAGTGAAGGAAAGCTGATGTGAAATCATAAGCACAGTCATGGTCACATGATTTTTACTTAGCAACTGCTTTGCTTAATGACCAAGTTGCTGGAACCAATTGTAGTCACTAAACAAGGACTACCTGTACTCTACACACACACAAAACCTGGTCTGCTATTTTCTGCATGTATAAAATTAAAAATAAGCCCAAAACTGCAGATTTATGAAAACCTTTATTGCAGATGCTGAAGGTTTTTTTCAGCAGCTGTGGACATACAAAGCCACAGGTAATGGAACTAGGAATAATGAAGATCACCTGTATCACCATATTTTCTGGTTAGGGGATTGTGATACACTGAAACTTGGAATTTACGTGATAACCAAGCAGTTTCTTCTGATAACACAGAGAAAGATTAGTTTATCTCATTTTGTTGTCAGGGCATATTTCATGAAATTTCTAGTTATGTCTGTGAACTCGAGCATAAGATAATACAAATGGAAAAGTTGTAATGGGGAGGTTCTGTGAAAAGTTTGTTTTTAAATATAGGTGTCCCCACAGCTAGTCTTGATTGACACCAAAATTACAAAACTTGCATTGTGATGTGATTTTAAAAAAAATGCCTTTAAACAGAACAAAGAGAAGAGAAAGAAAATAGTGAAAGACAACAATTATATATATAAGGGCTTGTCATATATGTTTGTGTGTATATGTGTATATATGATTTTACACAAGTTTCAATTTAATTGTAATCATCCATACCTAATCTTGTCTGTAAGAAAATTGTTTATAAATTGCAAGTAAGATATCTTTAATTTCATGAGTAACTAGAGCCAACAAGTTTATTATTTCAGTCTTGAAGGATTAGTTTCTTAGCAGTAAGAAGGACATGGATAAAGTATTTCCATTGTCCATCCATTACATTCTACATAATAGATAAGTAGTTCAAACGAATCTCAGAGTCAAACTGATACATTTAATTCAGTCATTCCAGAAAATAACTTTAGGAGATTGCAAAATCATGTTTTAATGAACCATTATTCTCACTGCATCTCCAACAATATGAATTACTCAGTCCTTACTCAGAAGCAGGGGGTGCAATAAGACCAAAATATTGAGTAAACCCTAATCTAAGTTCTGTTGAACTAGATGATACAGAAATAATCAGAAGAGAAGAGATAAACAGGAAATTGCATCATAATATCATGACAAATCTCCACTCTTTTATATTTGCTTTACAACATCACATACAAGTATGTAAGGGGTGGAGTTGATGTCCCAATGCGTAATTCATCACTTGCCCCTCCTTCTTCAGACTCCCATACTTTTAAAGACTTTTTTCCTAAAACAACAACAAAGAAGCAAAGTACAGAATGAAGCACACAAAAGCTACTTGAGCCGAGGTACAAAGTTTATAATAGGAAGGAAATGTGTCTGAGTATGCGCGTGTGCATATCAGTGTCACGTTCATCTAAAATGTATTGCAAAGCTGTATTTTAAACGGATTAATAACTGAACTGACACGAGATTCTGTTTGGTGGAATATGGCAGAGGATTAGACTGCTGCTCTCTGGTTGAATTAACTCCGTTCTGAGGAAATAAAGCTGAGTGTTATAGGATTGCAGGGAGTATTTACTAGATATAAGAAGCCAGGCAGCTATTAATTGCCCCAGTGTCCTTGAAGAGGAAGTGGAGACAACCGTTCTTACAATGCCAATTCTGCAAAAATCTGCATGAGGATTTGAATACTAATACAGATGCTTTTTTCCCCCAAAAATACCTATGCTTCTCCTGCCCTGTGTTTGTAGCAAGCCTCTTTTTCTAGTTATTACATATTTTAAAAGAATGGTCTGTGTTCCATAATGATTTAATCTTTCGTATTCCTATTGTCATAAACAAGTTAAACCATTTTATGGTTTTTCTCCCATTTTTAGGTAACAGAGGGTAAAGTTCCAGTTTTCTAAATCATGCTTTGGAACAGGGATCAAATAACAGATTACTAGACTGACCTGAATCAAGCTGAGATATTTAAAGCCTTGTATATGGCCTTCAAAGCAGTAATAATTAAGTTGGCAATATAGGAGGCCCATTAACACTATTATATATAACAGATAGGATTGGTTGTTAGATTTGTATGCCATTTTGAAAATTTTGGATATTTCCAGATAGCTGAAAGTGCTGCCAGTCAAAAGATGTTATACAGCTATTTTGTCTTTCCCTCCTTTATGCATTTTCTGTAATCAGAAAAAGATTTTTAGAAAGTGATGAAACATTAGAGAATTACAAATGGATGATGCAGGGGGACTGCACAGTTGAAACCTCATCTGATCTCTGTTGAAATTATCTTAATTTATCGAAACTAGAATAAATATATTTTAAGTAAATGAAAATCATGTTCTAGTTTCAGTACTTCATTAAATAGTTGAAACAAATCATTTATCATGATTTGTTTTTAGCCATGGCCTGATCAATATTCATTACAGTGGAATGAATGGAGTGCATGGTTTGAACTAGTGTGTGGCAGAGAATTCTTCTAAGTTGTTTTCTTGCCAGTTATTCAGTTTGATGAAATAAAACCTGCTTTATTCTATTAGATAAGAGAATAGGTGGAGTTGTCATATGATTGTATTCATTTAGTTACAAGATGGTGAAGGGGTATATTAGACTGTTCTGTCTTTCATTATGCAATCACCTCTTCAATAGTTTGTAGCCTTCCTGTTGTCCCACTCTTTTCTTCCCCAAAGGAGAACATAATGGAAGAACTCCTCCTGAAACCTTATGGAAAAGGGCTCTCAGTTTCTCTCATCTTTATTTCCTTACATTTGGGAGCCAAGGGATGACAAGGAAACTAATGTTCATGAAGCTTCACACATTTCTCTCATTTCTGTTATTGTTGAAAGACATTGGGCAGACATCCTGTCTCCTTAAGTGTCAAGGCCATAAAGATATGGGAGGAAGTGACCTCAATCTGCTAGCCTTCAGAACACCCTTTAGCTGCTCTGGCAATACCTCTGAATTCCATGAAACAATAAATATCAGAAGATCAAAGGGGGTGCCCTTTGACTAGCAACCAATAGGTCATTGGGAAGATAAGTTTCCCCCAGTAATAAGGAGGATCCCAAATTTATGCCAATTTTAGCCAATCAATTTGTTAATTGCTGTATCTCTGTGTAAGAAACATGTATAAAGTCTTTTTCTTTGGGTGTGATCGGGGTTCTTCTCTGCCTTAAGGGGAGACCCCAGCTGACTCTGTTGGCCTGCTTTCAATAAAACTTTAAAATCTCAGCTGGTGTTTTCATGTCTGAT